TGATCAGAGGCTGATTCCAGGCAGCCCGGGGCAGAGCAACTCTATTTGGCACTTATTGCAAAATAGAGCACTCTTCCTTTGACTTCCCTTACTCCTCATACAATGAATGGGAATTGGAGTTACAGGAATTGGAGTAAGAAGTCCTCCAGCTTGACAGTATTTCGACTGTAGACGCAGACTCAGTTATTTTGAAATAATACTCGTTACTTCAAAATAATGTTGCTGTGTAGATGTACCCAAAGAGAACAGAGCTCTGCCCAGCCCCATAATATCATTGATATTTACAAAATAAGCATCCTGTGGGCAGTAACTTTACTCCCACAAGCAGTTCCGCTGGCCTTACTCAAAGTCCAAATTAAACAAATAGCTTGGTTGGGATAAAAGGCAAGATTGAAAACAAATGAAGACGACATTAAACTGATGAAACGGTGTCTGTTGTAGCAATGGAAAACACCTTTCCTGAGCAATGCCAAAGAGAGGGGAACAGATGGCTGTGAACAGGTTTGCTGGCTCTAATGATGCTGCTTTAATTTTTATATTTCCCTCCCTAGGTCGTGAGTTGTTAGGTAGTAAAGGTTTGATCCTAGCAGTGCTCATCAAACCGGAATGTGGTGGCCTGTGTAATTCCACTCTGGGTTTCTGCATTAATTGTATCACTTGAATGAGAGAGGAAAACGTGTAGAGGAAAAAAATTCAGTTCAATTTCCATTGCCTCACTTTGCTACAGGAAGCAAGTAGCTGGCTCCCTCCACAAAAGGAGGGTGATGTTGGAGATGGCCACAGTTACCCTGAATTCATGGAATAGGAGGTGCATAATTTGACTAGCCAGAAATATTTCCCATCTTTGAAAGCTTTTTATTTGTTCCCATGTTGGTGCTTATGCCATTCAGGACTAAAAACTACATTGAGCTGTGGAGATCTCTGTCTGTGCTAATCAGAATTTTAGGTTATTTGCATTTCAAACTTCACCGCACATGAAATATTTTCATTTTATAAGACTGCTCCATAAAACCTCTGTGTATAGACTGAGCAGAATCTTGGTAACATTCGTATCTTTGTTGCATTTTCATTGTCTTTTCTGAGGTGTTGATAGTGTGTATTTAGAAGATTTAATTAGTGGTCTATTACGTTAAGCAAATCATTGCAAGGGAAATCAGCCAGTTGCTGCTCTTCATTCCAGTATTCTGGCTAACTTTCCTGTGATCATGTTTCTGTGTTACTTCATGCTACTCAAAGTATGATTGGCAATCAACAGCACAGATTGGGCAGTGTCGCATTTGAACACAACTATGTAATGACATGTTACTTTTTCCTGCTCACTTTAACACTGTTTAATGGTTGGGTCCAAATGAAATGGAAAAACAAAATGAAAAAATAAGAGCACAGGCAGTGTTGGGGTGATGTGTATATCTTTTTTAAAAAGTCATCACACTTATATTTTAGGGTTCTTCAGTGCAGGTTTGCTATGTAGCCTTTGTACCAAACATTCCTACAATATGATTCTCCAGTCTAATAAAATAGTGGAGTTATACTTTTGAAATAATTGGTTAGGTGTTTGGCTGTTATTAAATGTCATAGCTCTTTTGTAGTTGTAAGAACGTGGCTTCACCCAGCTAAAGATGTGGCCTAATGCAAATCCCATAGGGTATGTCTACACAGCAAAGTTATTTCAAAATAACAGCTGTTATTTCGAAATAACTTTAGTAGTGTCTACACAGCCAAACTGCTATTTCAAAATTAATTCGAAATAGCAAAGCGCTTATTTTGAATTTGGTAAATCTCATTCCATGAGGAATAACGCCAAATTTGAAATAGGTATTTCAAAATAAGTGCTGTATAGACACTTATTTAGAAATAGGGGGCCTCCAGCCTTCCCAGGGTGGCCACTCCAGCCTCAACCAAGAACACTCCTCTCCCTCCCTCCTCTCCAGAGGCCTTAAAGGGATTGACTCCAGCCACAGTGCCTGTGCCAGCTCCAAGCCTGCCAGCCCAGAGCCAGCAGTCACTGTCCCTGACCCAGTGGCCCCAAAACATGAGCCAACAA